CTCTCTCTCTCTCTCTCTCTCTCTCTCTCTCTCTCTCTCTCTCTCTCTCTCTCTCTCTCTCTCTCTCTCTCTCTCTCTCTCTCTCTCCGTGGTTGTACCCACAGGAACACATGTTTGCAGTTCTTTTCCCAGGTTATCTGCAGCAAGAAGACTGGCCGGTGAGGAGCAACACTTTGCCTAATATTTCCAAGACAAAGGGATGGAACAGCAGCATAAACTTATTGTTACTTGCCAAGAGTCCAAGACCATGCTCACAGAGTGAGGGCGCAGCCATGGCACTCGCTGAGAGCAACAATGCATGAGTCAGGCCTGAGCTGCCCTTGCTGAGAGTGTATACAGATTACTGCAACGAAAGAAAGAGATGAAAGGGTGGTCAAGACCGAACAGGATGCCCCTGGTAGGACAGCCTGTCAATGTCATTCTTTAATTTTTTTAAAGACGGAAGAGGATGAAAAAGCTGGCATAGCTGAGGCCTTTTTCAGGAACCTATATACTTCCGAACGACCGAAACAGATAACCTGACTCAAGCCTCGGTATCCAAGCAAGTAGGAAGTTCATTAAATACCTGGACAGAACTATCAACACTGGATTTGGCGGACAAGTTGGATGAGCCTATACATTCAGCGGCGGTCCAAGGCGCCCTAAGCTCCATGAAACCTAAGAAAACACCAGGGCAGGATGGTCTTTCCAAGGAGTTTTTGCTTAAATATTGGGACGCCTTTGGTGATGAGTATTGACGGTTCATCAAAAGAGCATTGAACAAGGAAGGAATGGATATCTTCCTTTGTACAAGAATACTCCTTCATGCAAAAGGAAGGGGAATGAGCAGACATCAAGAACTATAGACCTATCACATTGCTAAGCATACAAAATTCTAGTAGCAAATAGGATTAGCAAATAGGATTAGGAACATTACTATCGTCTTCACCCGAATAGAACGCCCGGTCATTATAGCTGTATTTGGCACAACTTTTGGTCCAGATGCAGCAATAATGACCAGGCGTTCTATTCGGGTGAAGACGGTAGGAAATGCATCTTGCATAAACCAGTGGGGCTTCATTCTAGGGAGATTTATCAAATTATCATGCGCCTTGGAATGCTCCGCTCTGCCCTGGGTGTGTCCTGGGAGTGTGAGCATAGCACTGGCCATCAGGGTAGGTCCTGCCTATACCTCAGCCTGCACAACCTTTTTACAAAAAGAGAAAAAAAAAATGCAAATTGTACTTCATGCTTACCACCACGGCAGTGCATTCCTTAGTCGTGCTTTCAATGCTTGTGCCCCATGTTAACATTTGGCGATAATCTGAGCTAGCCAAGGTTGGGTACCACGAGGAGGCATGGCATATCCCACTTGACTGAGCATAACCGTGATGGAGGGTCTCTGTAAACTGCTCAATCTTCAGTATGACGATCCACATAGGGCCGTTAGGGCCCAACGAGTTATCAAAGAGTCAGGCCAGCGACCCTCGAAAAGTAATATGTTGTCCTTGTTAGCCTCTTTACCACTCAGGATCTGCAAATAATCGAGGTTCAGAAACTATTCAGAATCCAACCCCTATCACTTCATTTCGCCCAGCTCACTACCCAACAGCTCGAGGATTGGGGCTCCATGCCCGTAAACTCCTCCGCCTCTCACGGCATTCCAGTCTCCTAATAATACATCTAGAAAGGTGTATCCCTCGCGGCTGTTCGACGGCAAACGCATGATGCGATATAGCATGACTGAGTCAGAGAAGGGCTTCGTATCTGTTGAGGACTGGGACCACATACTCTCCACCCCTAGGACTGGACTAGATGGAGAGGGCTCCTCCAACACTAACGGGGTCACCGAGCAGGAGGATACAAGGATACACTAT